CTTTCCAACCTTAGTGATTCTGTGATAATAGAAGGGACACAACCACCGTCCACTGCCCTGTCTGAGTTTTATTTAAGAAAAAAAAAAGAAAAAAGTGTGTGCGTGTGTTAAATACAGTCTGTACTTTGTTTATACAATTTAAAGAATCCATTTTCTGCCTTTTCACAGAAATAATTGTAAATGAACTTTCAGGCTATTTAAAATAGTTTAGGTTAGAAGTGAGGAAGTGACCTCTGGAGGTCATCTGGTCCAACCCCACCATGCAAAGCAGAACAAACTTCAAAGTTATATTGGGCTGTGTCCTGTCCACTCTTGAATATCTCCAAGGGTGGAGATTCCACAACCTTTCTAGGCAGCTTGGTCCAGCGTTTGCTTGGTCCAGCGTTTGACCACTCTTGCAGTAAACGTGTTTACCATCTGTCTATCTGATCAGAATTTATCTTGCTGTAACTTGTGTCTGCTGACTTTCATCCTTTTGCTATGCATCTCTGAGGAGTGCCTGCCTCTCTCTTCTATACATCTGCCTGCTAGGTGTTTGCAAACAGGAGTAAGACCTGTCCATAGTCTTCTCTTCTTCATGCTGAACAGAGCCAGGTATCTCAGCCTGTCCTTGTTTGTCACGTTCCAGCCTCTGCTCATTCTGGACTCACTCCAGCATATCAATGACTTTTTTTGTACCGGGGAAGCCAGTACTGGACACAGTACTTGAGAATAACAAGATATAGGACAAGAGGAAACGGGCTCAAGTGGCACCAGGGGAGGTTTAGATTGGATGTTAGGAAAAATTTCTTCACCAAAAAGTGTTGTCAAGCACTGGAACAGGCTGCCCAGGGAAGCGGTGGAGTCGCCATCCCTGGAGGTATTTAAAAGACGTGTAGATGTTGTGCTTAGGGACATTATTTAGTGGTGAACTCAGCAGTGTTAGGTTAACGGTTGGACTTGATGGTTAAAGACGATTAAAAGATCTTAAAGGTCTTTTCCAACCTAAATGATTCTGTGATTCTATGCAGCCCCACAAGTGCCAAATAGGAGGGAAGAAATCCTTCTCTTGACCTGCTATCTGTGCCGTTGCTAATGCATCCCGGTTTGCAGTTGACCTTTGCCACCAGGGCACAGTCCTGGCTCATATTCAGCTTGGTGTCAACTAGAACCTCCAGGTCCTTTTCTGTAAAGCAGCTTTCTACTCACCTGCCCCCAGCCTGTCCTGGTGCATAGGGATAGTCCAGGTGCAGGACTTTGCTTTTGCCTTTGTTGAGCTCCATGAGGTTTCTGTCACCCATGTCCCCAGCCTGTCAAGGTCTCTCTTAATAGCATCTCTGCCCTCAGTGCATTTCAGGTGGCATTGACTTTCTTTCCTGGGCGTGAGCTGGATCTGACCTTCCAAAAACATAATATGCTTTCAGTCACCCTTATCTCCAGAAAAGCTTTAATTTAAATAATCAGAAATTATTTGATTGCTGATTTTTAGAAGTTGAGCTTTTTAGCTTCCTCCTTTTTACAAGGTGTGGAAGCTTTTAGCAGTTAAACAATTAACATTTCAAAGATGCATAGAAACAGAGGATTTTCTCTGGAGATATGAGGGATACACGATAATGATGACCCTCTTTGCGATTCGAATTCAGCCTTTGAAGCTGGTGTATCGGTAACGGGTGAGTATTACCATTTCAAAGCATTTTGTACAGCAGAGTTAAAGTAGAACAATTCTCAGCAAAACTAGGGGATTCTGAATATTCAGGCCTCAGCTGAATAACTGAAGACCTGAGTGACACTGTTTTATTGTTTCCCCAAATAACTGGAGCGCGTAAGTCATAGATGAGCAGAGCAATACTGGAGAAGATGGTCAAATTTGCTTTCGGACACATGGCTAGCTCTCAAAAAGAAAAAAAGTTATTAATTGCAAAAGGGGCAAGCTGCTGCTGATAGTTTGTTGAACGAAGGTGATGAACGAATGGTTTGACATCACCTGACTGAAGAAAGAAGAAAGAAAGTTTCTGAGCGGTGTCCAGGGGGAGGGAGGAAGGACACTGGAGAAGAGAGAAGTCAAGTATTTTCCTCAAGCAGGAGGACTTTATTTCTATGGGGTCTGTGACCAGCACAATGGATCTCACCACTTCTGCACGTGATACCGTTGCAGGTTAGGTAGCTGTGGGGTTTTTCAGGATTTAACATCAAATATCCAAGTACTTGCTCACTTATTTTAAAATAATAATCTGTTATCTACTGTCTTTCAAGACTGCAACTTTGGCGTCATACAAAAGTAAGTGTCAAAGTATTTATGAACCAGCTGCTTTAAGTAGAGGTCTGTATGTAGTACTGGCACAGGCCACAGCGTGACAACATTACATTGTGTTTAAAATTTTAATTGCCTTAACTATTCAAGGTGTCTTGCTTTGATCTGGATTACTAGGGTTTAAAAATCCCTTGTTAGCCATCTACAGTTTCACTTCTGCTTTGTTTGCAAAATAAGCACCTGTGCTCATGTACACATTTCTGGTAGGGTTTTTTTTGGCTCTTATCCCAATCTGTCCCCTTTTTTTTTTTTTTTTAAAAAAAAAGACTTCAGCTTTAGAAAGGCAGCTGGAGCAAATCAAAGGCTTCTGTCAACCACAGATTTTTGTAGTTTATGAGTAGCTTATGTCTTAATTTTGCAGCATTTTCTGACCTAATTGGGGTTCGCACTCTCTTTCTTGGATGAAGCAAGAGGGATTCCCTTGTTCATTCAGCCCTTGGCTCTCTTCAAAGATTTACATAAAAAATTTTCAACTGCCTTTGGCTTTTATTATAATTAATAAGTTAATTGGAACATCAAAAAGCCACCATTTTCTTTTCACAAGCAACAGTTACAGCTTTTAACCACCAAAGTTCTTAAAAAAAACAATGCCTGTATTAAGTATGTTGGTTTTGCAAATAAAACTAGTCAGATGGTAACTTTTGAGGATTGGAAAATGTCATTTCATATCGAAACACTTAAATCTAACAACAGACCTCTTTCAGCCTGTCTGTTTGTCTTTCTTAGAAGATTTCTGACTCAAGTCTTCCCTTCTCTCAATTCAAAATGTCTGGGGCACCCCGATTTCAGAAACTTTCCACTTAGAGAAATCAGAATTTATTTATCTCTTGAAAACTTACATTTAGACTTACCAAGTCTTAAACAGTTCAATTTTCATTTTGGTCAACAGCTTGATGTTCAAGTGGAGACCAGTGTTCCTCAGGAGTCGGTATTGGGACCAGCGTTGTTTAACATCTTTGTTGGTGACATGGACAGTAGGATTAGAGTGCATCCTCAGCAAGCTTGCTGAAGACATCAAGCTGTGTGGTGCGGTCAACACGCTGGAGGGAAGGGATGCCATCCAGAAGGACTTTGACAGGCTTGAGAGAGTGGGCCTGTGCAAACCTCATGAAGTTCAGTAAGGCCAAGTGCAAGGTCCTGCACATGGGTTAGGGCAATCCCAAGCACAAATACAGGCTGGGTGGAGAATTCATTGAGAGCAGCCCTGAGGAGAAGGACTTGGGGGTGTTGGTTGGTGAGAAACTCAACATGACCCGGTGATGTGTGCTCGCAGCCCAGAAGGCCAACTGTATCCTGGGCTGCATCCGAAGCAGCGTGGCCAGCAGGTCGAGGGAGGTGATTCTGCCCCTCTACTCCACTCTGGTGAGACCCCCACATGGAGTCCTGCATCCAGCTCCAGAGCCCTCGGCACAGGGAAGACATGGACCTGTTGGAGAGGGTCCAGAGGAGGCCACCAAAATGATCAGAGGGATGGAACACCTCTCCTGTGAAAGACAGGCTGAGAGAGTTGAGGTTGTTCAGCCTGGAGAAAAAGCTCTGGGGAGACCTTACAGCAGCCTACCAGTACCTAAAGGGTGCCTACAAGAAAGCTGGAGAGGGACTTTTCACAAGGGCCTGTAGTGGTAGGACAAGGCGTAATAGCTTTAAACTGTAATAGGGTAAATTTAGGTTAGATGTAAGGAAGAAATTCTTCATGATGAGGGTGGTGAGGCACTGGAACAGGTTGCCCAGAGAAGTTGTGGATGCCCCATACCTGGAAGTGTTCAAGGCCAGGCTGGATGGGGCTTTGAGCAACCTCGTCTAGTGGAAAGTGTCCCAGCCCATGGCAGGGTGTTGGAACTAGATGAACTCTAAGGTCCCTTCCAACCCAAACCATTCTATGATTCTGTGATTCATTAACGTCTACTGCAACAAATTTGGATCAATGTGGGGCATTTGCCAAAATTATTCCTGCTTCTCTGCATCTGTATGTCTATAGCTGGGTGTAGGGCTTTGCTCCCCTCCTACCTCCTTTTACTGAAAGGGCTGTGTCTTCCTCTCTCAATAAATTTTCAGCAGTGGTATGTGCACGAGGGCTGATACGGGAATGGTTTCCTGTTGCACAGGTGTAAGACCTTGAGTTATGTACTTCACTATAGTTGAATTATTTGAGGAAAAGAGGAATCTGCTGAAGTTTCCAGGTTCCTGTTGTCCCTGCAGCTTGTAACCCAGCCAACGACCTATTTGGCTGTACGTTTAACAGCATTATGTCAACTGAATCGGTGCCTCTCTATCAAGGCAGCTTCACACGTCAGTATTGGAACTTCGGGAACGCTGCTGTGTTGCTGACTTCAACCTGGGCACGCTTTCTCTTAGGTGGTGCCGACGCTGCGGACCCTGTGGCAGCGAGGCCATCAGGTGATAGTCTCATACGAAGAGGACGTGGCAGTGGAGGAGCACGGTGAGCTGTGGCCCGCGATCCCATACTGGTGGGGAAACAAAACTGCCACTCGTGCTCTTATCCAGTATTTGGAGCGCATGAAGCGGATGGGCCGTCCAGGTAGGCACGGGGAGTCACTGGGAGGAAACAAGGGTCACGTACAGCGGCGCAAAACAAATGGGAGGTTGAGCGATTGTAGCGTTACGGGATATAACCACTTTGTGCACGCTGCGTGTGTGAGGCGTGCCCAAGTTTGCTGCGTGGGAAAAATGGGCCAGCGCAACGTCCATCTGCGTTGGTGCGAATCTGCGCGTTGGTCCGCGTGCGCGCGCAGACCTCCTGAATTGTGGCAGCTGCTTCACTTGCGTGATCCTGTGGAAAAGCAGCCCTCAGCACAGACCGGCTCGCTGGCGCTGTCGTGCTCGTCTCACAGGTAGGAGGCTGCTCCCTCGACCCAGCGCTTGCCACTTCGGGCCGCGCTGATGATGCGGGCAGCGCGTTACGCTAGCCTTGTTGTGAAAAGAAGCCCCTACAAGAACGGCGCATAAAGGCTGTCGCTACCTCGGGACGTAGCGGTGCTCAAGCGTGCTGGCGTAGTCTTAAGCCAAAAGGAATTTGGTTCATAACCTCCAGCGCAGCTCCGCGGTGCGCGCGCGTGGGGTGACGAAGGCAAGAGCCGCTTCAGGAGCGTACTCCCCGGCCGAAGGAAGACGCTCGCGTAGGTGCGCCCTGTGTTCCCGTCCATCTCCGGGGGCAAGGCTAAGCATTTGGGAACCAACCCTTACAGAAACAAACATAATTTAGAAAGGAGGACTAGTTAGTGGAGAACCTTTAGTCTGCAATGAGTGATGTAGATAAATTTAGCCAAACTGGAACGGTTTGATAACCGAGTTGGGTTTTGGTGACTCTTTACTACCGCATGCAGTTGCAACGATGGGAGAGACTGCTGAAGCAGTTCTACAGATAGGAAACAACAGAGACTGTAAAGTCAGTGCTTTAATGATCCCCAGAGGAACGAGATCTGGAGTTAATGCAATGCTGAGCAGTTTCGGTTCTCCTCAGAGGAATATTTAATGTGTTACTTTCTGATTTTTGTTTCAGAAAAATTCTTTGTAGCGGGGATTAACCTTACTGAAAATTTAAGGTATATTCTCGTACATCCATTTGGATCACTGAAGAAAATGACACTCCGGAGTCTTCCATGCTTGAAAATCTGGATAAAGCAGCAGTATCCAGGACCAAAAAAAGAATGTATTAACATCATTGCTGGGGACTTCATAGGAAATGATGATTTTGTCAAAGATGTGATAGAACTTAACACAAAAATTAATCCTCTATTACACTGTCAAAGTAAAGGAGCTGGAACAAATAGCATTTCATTCTCAGCTTCTTAATCTGCAAAAACCTGGAAAGGCTTTGTCTGCGTTTAATGTGTCCTGGTTTAAATATCCTGGATCCCATAAAGGTCCAGTTAATGTAAAACAGGGGTGTTTTAAAGATTCAGTAAGAAGAGTGCTCTTAGCCTCATCAGGGTTTCAAGGCCTTTTCACAAAAAAGAGAGCAGGCAGACCTGGCTGAAGTCTCTAGAGAACTATGGTATCTGTATAATTTACTTGGAGGTGCTCAGACTCTGTAGCAGTTGGCAATAGTGAAAGTCCCAAGAACTTAATCCCATTTTATTTTACATATGAGCAAGGAGAAATATGTCAGTGGCTGCATGGATTATTTTGTGGCAAGACTGTTATCTTTCTTACAATTGTAAAGATATTCTGCACTACTTGCAACCCCAATTCTCAGTATATCAGTGTGAAACTGACTTGTCTGTTTTCATAGTTTGTGTTAAATATAGGAGAGGAACAGTTTAAAAATGTTTTTGATATATCAGAGATACTATATTGACAATCCTATTTGACATGATTTTTTTTATATACATCAATACATCATTAACATTCAAGATCTAGAAGCTGCTGTACTGTTGTTGTGTGACAAGTATCAGTTATGAGCCACTTTACCAACAGGGCAGTCACAAAATTCTTCACGATTTGCAAGAGGTATATGTATTTGAACACTGATTATTTTTATCAGTCATGCCAGTTCTGCAGTGATAGATATGAAGACTAGGCACTTAGACAGTTTTGTTTGTGGTAATGAAATCTGTTTTATTAGGTGTGCCAAAATATGCCTTACACTGAAAATGAACATATGAAACAAATTCCTTCTCTAAACTCAGATTGCTCTAAAAATCCAGATTCTTGGCTTCTGTCATGCTCATTTGGGGTTTCACAACTGGTCTTTTATTCACCTATTCTAATTATAGTTATTTTTCCTCTCAATAAGTGTTTTTTGCTTGTGTAAAAACTAAGGGGTTGATGTTGTTTGCCACTGCGTATCAATTCTATTTTTCTGTTTCTTTAAATGAACTGTGCAATAACAGATGATCATGAAGATAAGAGAAATGGCAAGCATCAGGACTAAAACAAAACCAGGCATTGTATAAAGGTCACTATGCAGCTTCATCAATATACCTCACTTTTGAGATGCACCTTATATGCAAAAGCTGAGTTCAAATGTCTGGCAAGATGTTCACATTTGCAGTAGGTATTTGCAGAAGTCTGAAATCAACTGCAGCCTGACAACAGATCAAACTTGCCATAGACTTCTCAGCATGAAAGGCAAAGATGCTACCTCCTCATGTAACCTCTTGCAATTGCAGAATTTGTCAAGAGTAAAATCCCAAACATTCCATTTATACTTGTCTCTATGTATTTCACACTGAGCAGTCATTCAGTTTTGGGTTTGGTGTTTTTTTTTTAGTCACTACCTGCATGAAGTGTTACGTTATACATACTCAAAATGTTTTTCTGCCTATCTTTTGTACCCTCTTGTGACTCTATGAAAACTTGATCTCTTTGTGTAATATGGAGTGAAACAGTTTTGCTTCTACTTTCTGTGACTGATTGGTTCATTAGTTCCCAATAGTAATTCATAACTTGGGTAATGGATCAGGTTTTGTTCTTTTTTTTTTTTCCTTTGTGAAATAATTTCATACAAAATCCATGGTTTACTGTACCTAAAATGTTTTCTCTTTAAGAACTGACACAGTAATAGGTATTGTGGATAAATTATTGTAGGCAAGAAAACTGTATGTTCACAGCCAACTTTATTTGTTGCTTAAATATACAAATCCATGGCTTTTTGCTTCACTGCAATAAGACATGGCAGTTATTTTACTTAAATATGTATTAAAGCAGAATGCATGAACCTATCTGTATTATTTATAAACAGCCAACAACATTTTGTTCACTAATTGTTATTTTCCAAGGACCGCTTGGGACACCTTAACTACAATAAATACTATTTTATTCTGAAAAATGGGGCAAAAGGCTTTATTTATATAAGAAACTTGGTACTTTTCTGAAGGTTAATTCAGATGCCATCCAGTGATTTCCATGTGTTTGAGGTCCACAGCTTATAGCCAACAACTGTTTTAACATTAAAAATTTAGTGCTGTCCTTGCACTTGCCGACAGAATGAAGCTCAAAGCTCTTACAGTTTCCAAACAGAAGTTTTCTGAAACAATGTCCATTTCTAAAATGTGCCAAAAACATAACTCTTCAACACCCAGGCTAATAGGTCATTAACTTCATTTCACATCCTCTTAATGAGATCAGTTTCTTTTCCTAGAAAAAGATGCGGTTTCATGGCATAAAAATCTTACTGTTAGGAAAGAGGTTTTTGTATCTGCCAAAAGCAGCATCGCCGATGATCACCTTCACCCTGGCTGTGCTGTCCTCAGGCATGACTTCTACTTCCTGAACTGTTGCTTCTTTATAGAGCCAACTGTAAAAGTAGAAACATATTATCATCCTAAAAGGTATGACATACTGCATAAAATGTGATCTTTGCTTTAGGTCAACATGTTCCAATCTAGGTAATTTAACACTTTAAAAGGTGAAGTGCTTCACTTACTTTTCATTTACTACTTGCTGTTTGGAAATAGGGTATACTCTTTTCATAAACTTTTCAGATTTGTGTTTTTATCAGAAATCTGGATCCAGGACCAGTGGCTTGGTCTTTCAGGAAGTATGTTTTATTGTACTAACACACAGAACTCTGTGAAGGACACTCAGAAGCAGACTAAGGTATCTAATGGGGATATTTCTTCTCAATAGGTCATAAAACTTCAATAATTATCTCTGTAATTCTTGTCAGATTAAAATCAGTATGATATGATTTGAAAATTTTAAGACATGCAAGACTGTGCAAGACATTTAAGACATGCAAATTTCATATTTCTCTAAGTCCCCCTTACAATTCGAAATTATTTACCTTAGCTGAGGTCCCTCTAAGTTGACATTAACTGTCAGAATCTTCTTCCCTGTTGCTGTCAAAATTTTTTTCTCTATTTCTTCCTTCAACTCTTCTAAACCATGTCCATGTAGAGCAGAAATGGCTAAAGCATTTTCTTCAGTGGGTTTATATCTGAAAGGTAACAATTGCTAGCACATTTGTGCATAAAGATTAGGTTGTGAAAATATTCCAAGCAGCGACAACTTAACTGTGTTACTTTATACTGGCAGCTTCCTACAGAAGCTACTTCTTGTATAACTCAAGTGATTTCTTTTGTAATTAAAAGATAATTAATTCTTTTTAAGACCATAGTTACATATGTAAAAGATTGAGAAACACTATTAAATGTAGTCAGAAGTGTGAGAGCTTTTTTCTAGACTAAGAATCTAAGAGCTGCTGGGACATAAGAAATGTTTAAGTACACTTAGCATCTCCTGCTTACCTTTCTATCAAATCCACTTTGTTATGAACTTCTACCATCGAGTCCAATAAATGGCTGGGAAGATTAAGATTCTTCAGAACTGACAGAACTGTTGCTTTCTGGAGGATTGTTTCTGGATGAGTAACATCCCTCACATGAACTATCAGATCCTAGCAAGCATCAATACACAAGACAGTGACTTAATGAAACACCAGTTACCATGTTGTAATTGCTAATTCATATAAGATACTTTCCTATCCATTAGATAGTACACTGGGAGGTTAACACTGTAAAATGAACTACTAAAACAGTATTAAGCCAATACTGTCTTTTGTACAATGATGAAAGAAAATCTGTAGCAGCTTAGTTTTTTCTCTCCACAGTGAGTATGAATTGCCTCCAACAAGCCTGAAACAAATCCTGTCAATCAAGCTAGTTACAGAATTCAGATTTCAAATAACTACTGATCTAATTTTTCAAAGCCAAGGCTGTGTAAGAATAAGGCTTCAAAAATACTGGAGAAGAAAAAGACTAAACTCTAAAAAGGTTTTAGAAGAGTAATGGCTGAAAAACTGTTTGAAAAAGAAAAAAACCTGCAAACCATAGAACTTGCAATTCTATTTTTACATTCAAAATGCAGAAGATGACTGTCTTCATTCTTAGCTCTTGAGATACTATTACTGGTGCTTCACTTAGAAAGCTTTATACAAAAGTCGCCAGTTTCAAGTGCATACACAATCATGTTTGCCATGATAAAAACCAAGCAACCAAATTCAGTATTTGCATTCAAAATGTTTGTCGTCTTTGCTCAAGATTGTGCTTCAAACTTCTGAAAATTAGTGAGAAGTACATTTCTTGCCTTTCATTTAACACTTCAGAATAAGAGACAAACAGGATAGTTGCAGCCAGATTTTCAAAGTCCTATTATTGCATGGTGAAGAGTCCAATCCTCAGAAGCATTCCAGCATCCAACTACCACTGAATTTCATTACTTTTCATGATACAGGCCTTTTGTTTTACATGTCTGTGTATATGCAGCTTTACACTTTGCTATAATACAGGAAACTAGTTTTAATGAGAAAATGATTGGAAAAGTACATTTCTGTTTATTACAATGCTGCCTGCATCACATCACAGTCGCCCACTTTTAGTGCTATAGGAAACTGTAAGTTAAAAACAGATCATTCCAGAGGCTTTATTTCATTTTTAACTCTCAAGAAAGCGAACTTCAACTTATTCTGATGTACTAGGTTTAGTTTAGGTTTTCATATATTTAATCAGCAAAATCTGACTTGTCTGGTTTACATATCATGGAGAAGGACACATATACTCCAAATAAACCCTTTCTGAAATCTCTTTGTATCTATATATTCTATATAGTTTCAAGTGTCAGAAAACTGGCTTATGGTAAGATATTTACCTTGTTATCTTAGAAGACTACTAGAGCCAGCCAGATCCTTCTCTAAGAAGAGCATGCCAATTAACTTCCCCCTTTTTGAAGGGGTGAGGATTATCTAAAAGGGAATTAATTTGATTTCTCAGTTTTTACAGTCAACTACATACCGAGTAAGCCACTTCTTCTAATGTAGCTGAAAAGGACTCAACCAGACTATGTGGAAGATCAGTCAGAAACCCAATAGTGTCAACATAAATAACTGCCATATGTGAGGGCAGATAGCCAGCATGCGCTGTAATATCAAGAGTGGCAAACAGCTGATCTCTGGGTTGAAGACCTGCTTCCCCACTCAAGGCTTTGATCAAGGTAGTCTTTCCTAATTAAAGAAAAAAAAGAACAAGATGTTAGTGCCTTATTTTAAGTAAAAAAAACTAATTTACGAGGCTCCGGTGAGTTATATGATGTAACATATCTTTTCATACCTATTTCACTAATTTAAATCTAGCCTATGATTAGTTATCTATTACAAACACAGTCTTAACTTTTATAACTTGGAATTGGATTTAAGGCCACATCTGGAAGCTATGCTGTTAAATCACAAGATGATCAAAGACTGAACTGACCTGCAAAGTGACCTACCCACATCTCTCACCTCTAAGACTATCTGAAGAGCGCTGCCATGACAGCATTAGGAAGCATATGCTTATGCACGCTTCAGTGCTTCTGTTGTCAAATAAAATTCAGTATTTACTTGTTAAATCCAACAACAAACAGAAGCACTAACATGTAACTTATTAGGTTTATGCTTTTATTGGGCATTTCTTCATGAATATAATACTACTGACATTTATTTAACTCAATGAGAGTTAAAGAATTTAAAGAATTGATGTTGTGAGTCACAGAATTTAGTCATTAAAGTGCTCAGTATATACCCTAGTTAAAGTATTCCAATTATATGTACAAAATTGTAATATATACATACATAGTTGAATCTTCAGTTTTAAAAAATATGGAAGTATGACATTTAAGAAAAACATACAGTGTAATCCAAATCTTTGCATATATAACTGGTAACAAAATTAGTGCAAGTTAAGTTGGGAGACTAACAGTACAGTCTTCAGCACTATATATAAAATCTTTTTGGCACAATAGGTGCTAGGCATTTCTCCAAAATGTGTCTTCAAGACTGAGGAAAAAACCAAAATTTAACTGCAACAAGCATAATTTTCTTTCCTAACTATACCCTAACTGACAAATATTCATTACACAACTTAAATCCTAATTAAAATACGAAGCCTATTCACACCGAAGTGAGTTTCTGGGTAAAGTTTCTAATTAAAAATTAGACCATGTAAGCTCTTTCATGTTACAATTTTTTGCTTACCACAGTTAGTATAGCCCATTACTGAGATAATCGGAAACTCGCGTTTTCTGCGCTGAGTTCTAAGTAAAGACCTTTTTTTTCTTAGTTTCTCCAGGGCACTCCTAATTTTAAGTTCTTTTTCTTTCAAGATACGATGCTGTGTCTCCATGAATGTTTCACCTGAAAAATACAAATGAGTAATTGGCAGAAAAGTCTACAAGAGAAATAGTAAACCAAGTGATGTTGTGCATTTGGAAATCAAGTGAGCTAGCATTAGGGAATATGAAGTTATAAATAACCAACTAAAACTATGTTTTCTTGCCTAAGAGTCTGAATGATAAGTAATTATTAAAACATATGCAAAGCACTCTAGAATAACCATGTACACTTATGATAAACCTCTGTAGCAGGAAATACTCTGTCCATGGTCAGTTACTGAGCCAGTACAAACTAAAACTTTAAGTTACTTTCCAATAAATTTTTGTATGTTCACTTAATTAGATGCAGAACACAAACAGTTTCTCCTCCTGGCCTCCTCCAAATAAAATAAGATAAAATTAAATGTGTTTAAAGGCTATGGGAGAAAAAAAATCTTCTAATTCATGAGAATATTTAGACTTTACCTGAGCCCATGATGTACCTTGATCCGCCTCTCTGCTGATCTAGCCAAGACACCTCATTTTTCAGATTTGACCTGTCAGTGGAGTAACAGGTAATTAGAAGCAACTTTCTTTAATCAAGCTATCCTAAAATGCCTAACAAATGTGAAGCAGTAGTAGATATTCTAACAGTATGAATAAAAACACTAAATGACTCCAAATAAAACCTGCTCATCGCGAGAAGCCTGGTGAAAAAATCCAGATTTTCCTGTCTCCTCAGCTGTGGTTTGAAGAATCATGCAACTCTCTTAGCAAATTATAATGGCTATTCCAAAATTTCAGAGAGCCAAAGATGCCTCATACATTCACACAACTCACATCAACAGCCACGTACAAATATTTCTATGCCACGTAATGTAGAAATGTGGAAAATTCAGATACAAATTAATGCCGTTAATCTTTCTTGTTTATAGCTTTCCCTATTAAACCCATCAGAATTATAGATGGGATACACATACCCAATTCCTACACATTCTTGAAATCCATCTTCCACATTAGAAAGAACCGGGACCTTTTAATCAGAAATATATTTTGCAAGATTATTGAACACTGTCTGGTTTTGCCTGTCAGCACTGTAGAAGCTTAAAACAATGACATTATAGCAAATATTTCTAATGCTCTAATCAATCATTGAGCATACTATGCAAGCACTGAAACAGCATCATTTTGCTTTACAATATAGTATTACCATTTTTGTTACTGTAAAGAACTAGTCACTAAAATATGTAAATATCAGCATGTGATTTGCACAGCTCGAGGTACCTGAGAAGTGGAATTTCAGCCAATGCTATCTGAAGTTTTGCTTCTTTGGTCCGGGCATTACAACGAAAAATGTGAAGTACAACTGTGTATCTGTCAAAGACTTTCACGCCCCAGGCATCTTCTAGTTCTTTCTTTAGCCATGTAAGACAAAACAACCTAGATGTTTTCTGTCTGCCACAGTATCAGTACATCAGTTCCTACACAGCACTACAGCTACGGTTAGCTGATGGACACTTGAACTCAGAGGTTTTCAGGATGCCATTTCATTGGATGGGTAAGGATTATGAGCATGGAAAGGCAAAATTTGGCTGACCACAAAGAAAGGTGAAAAAGAGTTTAGAAGGTAGAACTTTATGTCTAGGCCCATCAAATTCCAAGAGAATCCTTCCATTGCCTTTAAAGGATTCTGACAACAGCTCTTACAGTATGTCTCAGAATCAAGAATCTCAGTTGTTAAGTCCTTGCAAAAAATAATTATGAAATGCTGGTGTAGGAAAGGATGGGGATAATGTAGGAAAAGAAAAAAAGATTACTGAATTGAAAAAAAAAAAAGGGAAGAAAGCAGGAAAATTATTTCATAACCAGCTTTTCACAAAATACTTAAACTCCAACCAAACAAAAACCAAACAAAAAACCCACCCTTGCTCTAATTCAGCAAAAGACACTTAAAGTATGCAGTAGTTCCCCTCTGCCATCTCTAAAATCCAGAATGTTTATGTTTTATACACATTCTCAAACACTTTCTTGAATCAACCCTGTTAAACTGCTCTTAAGATCTAGATTTGCAAAAAGAAAAATTTTTTACCAAATCTAGGACTAAAAGAACTCATACTGTAAATCAGGCAATAAAAACTAGGAAATTGAAAGGAAACATTTTCAACTTACATTTCATCAATAAATTGGAACAGAGATGGTAAATATCTCTAATAGGTAGGTATCTCAAGCATAGATAAACCTATGTAACTTATTAGGTTTATGCTTTTATTGGGCATTTCTTCACGAATATAATACTATGCTATCTCAAGGATAGCTACCTATTAGAGATATTTACCATCTCTGTTCATTTTATAATCAGGGAAAACATTCAAAACTACCAGCAAAGCATTAATGCTTGCTTGCAGAATTTCCACGCGCTTTACACCCTGCATGATGCTGTACATGCAATAAATCTAAAAAGTATTTATTTCACTTTATCTAAGCGTTTCAAAGAGCATCTATAGTTCACGCACCAGCTGTTTTACTGCCAATGTTAAAAAAAGTGAAGCATGCTGCTCCTCTCAACATAATGCATCAATTTAAAATACGGTTTCTTTTTAAGGGTTAGGAATGGAAGTTTAAATATCTGAAACATTCAAATATAAGCTTGCTCTGAATTTACGCCTCATATTCAAAATATAATACAGCATCCACAAAACTATAGGAAAATAAATGCACTATCCATATAGGCATAAAACTTGTGCATATAGCTAATCCAAAATGTTGACATTCTTCATAACAAAAGCTGTGTTACTGCTTCCATTTTGTGAAAAAGACCTTGAGTAACTTTTCCAACATTGTAAATAGTGCCAGTGGCAAATACAAGAGCAGAGTCTATACTAAGTTGTTATTAGGCTGCTGGAAAATTTCATGTATGAGAGCTGGAAACACATATATCAATGGGACAAATGTGATAGGAATTAAGTTTCCTTTCAACAAAACTCAGTCCAGGTGGCTTCACACATTACCATATGCAAATTTAGAGTCTTAACTGACCCTACTTCTCATAACATCCATAGCTTCCAAACAATACTGATGTAAACAATATGATTTGATACTGTATTTAATTACCTTTGTTAGTGAAGATATTCTTTCCACATTCAAGAAGACAGCTGTCACATGGGGCAATTTTTTAATCTTTTCTAAAAGATGGATAACCATTATAAAATAGCGTTAAATGTCAATTCTCTTTTTAAAATATACAGAATATAAAACCATTTTGCACTGAGCAGAATGCTCACAAAATAGCAAATGGCATTATATTCTTTGTTCACAGAACAGTTGTATTTGCTTTAATTTAGTACTATGTAAAACAGTTGCCAGTTTCACTTACGTCAATGACATAAACATAGGGATTAAGTTGCCTCACACATTTTCAGTTAGCATGGGTTATTTCTATTGTGTTGCTTTTGTAACCTTAAAAATATTCTGTGAAGTTTGTTTGCAAACCTGCATGATAGATGAACAAAATTCTCTCTCTCTTCAGCTTTCATACCTATCCTTAAACAGTTCAGCTGCAGAAGTCTTCCATTTAGAATGATGCAGTACTGAAAAATCTCAGTCCTTACCTGTCAAAACCTGAAAGTTTCCTTTGCCAAAAATAAACTTCTTGTCAGGATTTTTTGTAGGAATAATTATTTTATCTAAAACTGTCCAGTTCTGAAGGGTGTCTACAAGAGCAATGGCTTCAGCAATCTGTAATTCAGCTTTAGGAACAGAAAAAAAAAAGAAAAAGATTATTTTACATATGTTAAAAAAATATATATAATACCATCATAACTTTGCTCAGATTTTCAATAACTACAGTATGTGCATGAACAGAGAAGGCTTAGCTACACTGAAATTCTACTAGGGTATTTATTTTAACCTCTAGCACAAGGACCAAAATATCTTACCTCTAATCAGAGTAATTAAACTTCTTGTTTGATGCAATTTAACCACACAAAGCATCTTTCTGCCAGTACAAATTATTTCTATGGTTGTTGATTTAGAAGAATTTTTAATTGTATTGTCAGCAAAGAAGTTACCAAGCTGTTACCCCAACAAGTGTCACAAGTAACTAGTTGGAAAATAAATTGTTACTTTCGATAAGCACAAAACCACGCGATTAATTCCTTGGTGTTTTGCAGCAACATTTAAAGCATTACTAATAGGGAATATCCTGCTGCTAACATCACTGGTACTTATTCATAAAGGACCTACATTGATTTCTAACTTGCTAAAACCAGCAGATTCCAATCCTGTATTTGGGTTCATCAGTCTTTTTTTTTTTTTTTTTTTAAACCTCTACGTGGCAAAGCACTGCTTTTTGAGGACTTTGTGAAATCACGAAGACTACGTGGGCAGATGGATCAGCAGATCCAGTTCTGATTTGCCAGACTGGAATATGAGCCTCTTTTTTGTAACAGATTTGTAAAGTTTCTCTAGATAGCAAAACATAATTGATACATTAAATAGATTACCTTGGTCCAAAAGGTAATATATTTAAAAAGATAACCATGATCCTCTTTCTCCTCATATTGTTAGTATTCCTTGTAAAATGCACAGCTTTTCTGATGTACCTGTGGTGTTTCAACAATCATTCCAAAACATTTGTTCAGGCTTCAGGCTCTTCATCTGGAGGGCCTAAATAAATGGAAAGGGACCACTGCATTCTTCTGTATGTCTGGACAGAAATGTGCCTTTTTTTTTTTTTTTTTCAGTTGTAGAATGGGAGTGCTTATGTAAATTCTGAAAAGGCTACAAACTTATTCTGCAAAGTGACAATTTGTTATAATTAGCAGCACTAATAAAACTAAAGGAGATTTACCTTCATCGCATGATAAACTTGAATGCAAGGAGTATTATATATAAATTGACATATATATAAAAAACTAACTTACAAAGCGTTTAATCCTTTCTACTGTAACTGTGTAATTAGAGAAGTGTTTGGAGAAACAACAGCAAGCCAAGTTCATAATACATTTTAAGTATGCATGATTAATGCATATGCATTAGCTAGCTACAAGGATTTCTGAGGAGAATCTAAGAATAGCAGTGCTAATTAAGGTCCTTATCAAGGAATTATTGGCGACTGCATCCCTCAGTAACTACACAAAAGCACTCCTTTAAGTCCATGACAGGACTTACTTACACAAGACCTCATCTTCACTACACTCTCTTCTGTGGACAGGAGAGTGTTGCTGCTCTTCAGCCAACATCTGGGAAGCCTAAGGTTGAAGGGCTCCAGCCTGCCTGGCCAGACACCACTGTTGAGGGCTGAAGGCTATTAACGTTCAACTAATAAGGGAGGAACCCATCAGTTTCCCTCAGCACCCTGAACACTCCATGCACCGAGTGGTTTTATTGTCCAAGACCCAAAGTTAGCGTGATTTACGAGTCAAAGCACAGATCTGCCAACACTCGCCGAGCACACACTTAAAGAATTATCACAGAAGAAAACAGGGACCTAGACCTTTACCCCGAGTCTGTATTTCGCTAGTCGACCCAGACAGCATTTCGCAGTTTTACCACTACAGCAACAAGCTCTGCTTGACACCACCGGCACCAG